CAGTGGCTAGCCTCCTGAGAGTCCATCCACCCTGTGAATTTATGAAGGCTATATTAGAAAAGACGTAGGCCAACTTGAATATCACAGAAAACATAATGATGGGTCACATTTTAGTCATCATGATAGATACTATTACCACTCATACATCCACTATCTCATTAAAAAGAGAAATTGGTCCTGCTTAAAATTGCTGCTTATTACTGCTTTTCACTATTTTCATGAGTTATCTGTGTCTTCCTTAGCCAAGATTTTAAAAGTACAATTTGTTGAATAAGCAAAGCAAAAGAAATAATGAGAGAAAAATATATACAAAAAAATCTTTGCTGTAGGAATATTATCACATTAGTTAATGTTTTCAAGTCATGTATTACTAACTTGAAATTAGTCAGTGCCCAAGATGTTAACATGTGGCAGACACAAATAGCTTACAGTGTGTTTAATGTATGCTGGTTCCTTCCTTCATCTATCTAAAGGAGAATGAACTATTTTCCAGCCCTACAAATAAACCTTCTAAGCAGTGCTGACTCAGCTTGAGAAACAGGGATGTGTATGTACACTTTTAGTCCAGAGTTTTAAAAACATCTTATTGTTAGCTTGAATGCTCTTTTTGGAAAGTTCCATGGATATGTAGGATTCAGAAAACCCCAGTAAATTCCCATGTAGTCAACCCATACAGTAAGACTCAGAAAATTGGCCTGGGTTGCTGGGGACTTGAGGAAGTCACATGAAGCTGCACTTTTAAGGACAGAGATCACATCTATGATTCTTAGGGAAAACTAACAATTCTTAGGCTGGGTCGTGGGGGAGAGGTGAGGCTCAGTGGAGCAAGGGCTTGCTTTGCACGTACAAGGATCTGGGTTTGACACCTGAGACAGGTTTAAAGGAAAAGTCAGCCCAAGGCTCAGAAAATAAAGAGGCTGCAGTATGCTAAGCACTGAATGGAATAGATATACCACACTCCCTCCTCCCAAGGCTGGAGATCGCTGTGGAAGAAGGAAGCAAAGGAATCGCCAGAGGTGGTGAATGACTACAAGGAAACAATATTCTTGATACAGCAGAACAGCAATACATGTGAACTCTCACTGGTTGTGACAGTATGTGAAAGAGCTGTGGAAGTCCAGGCAAGAAAAGGGAGTTGGGAGGAGAGAGAGAGAGAGAGAGAGAGCTTCAGGATGGAACTATTGACAATTGTTAGCTTCTTGAGAGGTGCAGTCAGTTTTCTCTAAGAATGTATCACTGGTAAGCCAACCACGCTCCAGTAGAAGACCACACATCCAAGAATATTTGGAAAGCACAAACTGAACTTGATAGGTAGGGTGGTTTGAATGAAAACGTTCTTCAGAGCCTTGGGCATTGGAATAACTGGTCCCCCAAGAGTGGGCTTTGGGAGCTTAAGAGCTCACCCTATTTGTTGGTAGTTCACTGTCTCTGCTTTGTACTTGCAATTCAAGATTTGTGTGTTTTATGTGCATGGGTGTTTTGCCTCTAGGTATGCAGGTATGCCATTGTGTGTAGTACCCACAGAAGCCAGAAGAGGGCTCTTAGTTGTGAACCACTAAGTAGGTACTGGAAACTACACCCAGGTCCTCTCTGGCTTGAGCCATCTCCCCTATACCCAGGCACTGCATTTTAATTACAGCAGCAAAAACTATCCTTTCTATGCAACTACTTCATACCTAGATGCTATCTTGCTTAATTTGTTCTTTCAAAAATCTCACAGTCTTGTAAAGATTAGTGTATTTTTAGGGCAGGGAAACTACAGTTCAAAAGTTTAATAGATATTGTCAAGCAAAGGTGAGCTGTCATTCCAATTTAACAAACAAACCCCGAAATCTCTGCAGCTAAATGCAACAAAGGTTTGGGTTTGGGAGGTTTTGCTTGACTTTTATACAAATAAGTAAATAACCTTTCCCATCTAAATCCAAAGAGTAGGAATAAATCAAAAAAAAAAAAAAAAAAAAAAAAAAAAAAAAAAAAAAAAAAAAAAAAAACCACTGATCAGATCCAGAGAAGCAGACACTGAAAGTTCAAGCTTTGGATGAGTATAAGATATTACAGTTGTTCAAACTAATTCTAGCTCTTGCAGAAAGAATGAGACAGTCAAAAAAGCAAAGGTTCAGGGAACCTTGTCAGACCAGCAAAATGGGAGAGCCCCGCACCCTGTAAGGTGAGACCTCAGTCACAGAATTCTAGCAGTTCCCCCTCCTTACATGTTATTAGCAACTTTGCTGAGGTTCTATCTTAGCTACAACAATGAAAGATCACAGCATCTCCCCTTCTCTAGCTACTTTTCCTACAGGGTAAAAACAAGAACACAGTTTTTGGAGAATTTGTAAGTGGTTTTTCACAACATAACAAATTTGTAGGGGCAAACAAGCACCAATCATGTGCCTTCTGTTGCCAGTTCATTGGACTAGGATCTCTGGGATTACATCATAAGAGATTCCATTTCACATATTTCAAGACCCAACAGCATTAGATATAGTGATTTAAAAAAAAAATCACTGGACCTACAGGGAAAAGACTGTACTTTTTGCTTGTAACTCATGACTGGCATCATGAACAAGTCAGTTAATCTCAGTGAGACTCACTAGTGTGTGTGTGTGTGTGTGTGTGTGTGTGTGTGTGTGTGTTGAACATATGAATATAAATGATAAAGTCAGATCTTCTGAATTCCTGAAAGCACAATGAAGATCCATTAATGCTATCCATAGGAAGCAGAGATCGTCTAAGACCCCCCTGGCTCTTCTCTTTTACCTGGAGATCTTCGTCATGAGTGTGCCACCACACTCTGTGCCCTTATACAAGGCTAACTGCACAAGAAGTCACAGCCTCTCTCTAAGCTCCACAGTGGACTCCAGAAGGGTAAGGATAATGTCTCATTATGCAACGCACCATGTCCAAGGCATACTGGAAAGGAACTTCTGGAGCTTGTATGTCCAGAAAATAAAATCATAAAGAAGATAGTCTAATACTGAAAATGCTTAAAAAGTGTTTTCTTAGATACGTCAAAAGGTTGATGAGAAAGTAATAATATATAAAATCTAAGTGCAAAGGATACTTCAGAAAATGAAGCAGAGCATGGCATTGTGCTTACCTAAGACTGTTCACTTAATTCCGGTTGTCTTGAGCCCCAATGAACAAGGAGACAGGTCTAATCTGTAGGAGATTCCTACATGTCTAACTTTGGAACTCCAAAGTATTATGTTCTTTTTTTCCCTCTTTTTTAAAAAAAAAAATTATCATTCCTCTGTCTTCCCACACCCTAGCCTTTCCCCCCAACACACCCCCAATTCCCACCTCTTCCAAGTCAAGGTCTCCCATGGGGAGACAGCAAAGCCTGGTACATTCAGTTGAGGTAGGTCCAAGCCCCTCCCCCCTGCACCAAGACTGCGAAAGGTATCACACCTTAGGCACTGGACTCCAAAAAGCCCACTCATGCAACAGGGATGGATCCCAGTCCCCCTGCCTGTGGGCCCCCTAAACAGTTAGTATTATGGACTTAGCTTAAGGGTAAACATAAAACAAACCACCCCTCAAATGACATAAGGTGTGATCATGGCTCAAAACTACATTGTATGGAAAAGAAGAAATTTTCCAAAACTCCTTAACTAACTATAATTGGGCTTTAGCAAGTCTTATTCCTCATCTCAGTAGCTGGGTGGTCCGAAAACCCCTGGCTAAACTTTGGATTAAAGGATCACAGATTGGCAGGAAAAAAAAAAATCTTGGCTTGATCTGTTTGGGAGGCATCCAGGCAGTGGGACCAGATCTTGTGCTCATTGCATGAGTTGGCTGTTTGAAACCTGGGGCCTATGCAGGATTGTTTGGCTCGGCCTGGGAGGAGGGGACTAGACCTACCTGGACTGAGTCTACCAGGTTGACCTCAGTCTGTGGGGAAGGCTTTGCCCTGGAGGAGATGGGAATGGGAGGGGGGGTTGGGGGGAAGGTGAGGGGGACGGGAGCGGGGAGAACAAGGGAATCCGTGGCTGATATGTAGAACTGAATTGTATTGCAAAATAAATTAAAAAAAAAAAAGAAAGCATGCATTTTAGTGAAAAGCTTTTCTACTTGTTTGAATTTGTGACTGTGGAAATGATTTTCTTCCTAGATACAATAAAATGTAGTCCAGTAAAATCATCATCTTTTGAGAAATAAAAGTACAGGCACACTTTAAAAAAAAAAAAATCTTGTTTAGAGAAACAGTTTTAGAACAGGCTTCCAATGAGTATTCATATCAGAAATAAGGGAATAGAGTGTATCTATTCTTCCATCTGATGTTGCTGAAGGTTCCAGTAGAATACTAAGTCACAAAAAAGACCATAAATCACAAATTTCTAAAACAATGAAAGAATCAAACTCTCATTATTCACAGGTGATACAATTTTGAATACAGCTAAACCAAAATCTACAAATTGATGTCAGAGTCCTTAATACAAATTAATACTAAAATGAGCCAAAAGCAAAGTTGAAGTAAAAAGAGAAACAATTTATGACAGCATGAAATACCAAGTATTTAGACATAAACCTAGCAGATATCAGAAGGGCTTTATTGGGTAATCTTCTAAAATCTATTGAAAAACATTTAAAAAACAAAATTTAAGTGCTATATCATGATCATTGATAAGACTTAATATTGATGTCATGAGAAGAAAGAGAGGTGAGAAAAATAGACCCACACATCTATTGAAACTTGATTTATGGCATTGAATATCAATGGCAAAAGATAAACTACTTCATAAATACTCTTATAGCAATTGGTTACTCATGGAAAAAATGAAATTTGACCCCTATCCATATCATAAAGAAAGCAATTCCAGGATAAAGTAAAAGGCAAAACTGTAAAGAGTCCAAAACACAATACAAGGAAATGCCAGAATCTCTTTTCAACATCTGAGTAGGCAAGAAGTTCAAAACAAGAAATAATATGTGCAAAGAATAAACACTGAAAATCATTATTCATCATAGTAGCAAACAAAGAAAGTGTTCCAAATGCTTACCAAACCATTACTCCATGTGCCAGGCATTGAGTAAGCACTGCTGTGGGATGGTCTGTATGTCAAATGTGTTGCTGATTGGTCAATGAATAAATCACTGATTGGCAGTGGCCAGGCAGGAAGTATAGGCGGGACTAACAGAGAGGAAAATGGAGAGAACAGGAAGCTGGGAGGGGAGACACTGCCAGCCGCCATCAGGACAAGGAAGATGTAAAGTACCGGAAAGCCACAAGCCATGTGGCAAGGTATAGATTAATAGAAATGGATTAATTTAAGCTGTAAGAACAGTTAGCAAGAAGCCTGCCACGGCCATACAGTTTGTAACCAAAATAAGTCTCTGTGTTTACTTGCTCGGGTTTGAGCGGCTTGGGACTGGCGGGTGAGAGAGATTTGCCCTGACTGTGGGCCAGGCAGAAAAACTCTAGCTACAAAGCACTATATATCCATTAGCTCATTTAGTCTTCTTGAAGCATTCTGTGTCTTATTCCCACCACACAGGGGTGAAGATTTGGCACAGAAAACACATTGCAAAGTTTCACAAGTGTTGATGTGGTTTCTTCAACCTGTCTCTCAGCATCCCATGCAGTACCTAGATGCACACAAAGAAATTCAGGCAAATAAGGAATGCTGAGAGTGGGAGAAATAGCCTTCCCCAGGGAAAAGCACACTGATTACCCAATTTCAAATGGTCACCCCTGAAAACATACATCCAAGTAACACTATACAGACTGAGCAGGTTTCATTTATGTATTTTGGAATATATGTGTGTATATACGTAAACATATATGCTTGTAATAGCAAGTAATGAAAAACAGAGGTCATGAATTTGAAAGAAAGCAAGGAAGAGTATATGGAAGTGTTTAAACAAAGGAAGGGGAAAAAGAAAATGATATAGTTATAATCTCAAAACAATAAAAGAAATATTTTTTAAATGCACTCAGTGGTCCATGGGCTAATCAAATGATTCCTGTGACCAAGAAATGCCAACAATCCATGTGATGTTTGAGAATTAGAACCCTGTTAGTTGGCTCTGATAATTAATGAAAATCAACAGATAAGATGTTAATTATTGAGAATACTATAAATATATTAACTCAGGACAAGGAAGCCAGGACTCTACAGAAATTGCTGTGCTGTTCTCTCACAGGGTTATTAAAAACATAATTAGCTGTCGGGGAAGGGGCAGAGGGAGGCAGCAAGGACAGAGCAGTCCCTCAGTGACACAGGCTCTGCCTCTATACGCTTCCATTGTGCTTTCACACCCACATACCCTGCCCTGACATATTTCATTTACTTCTCTAATAAACGAAAGAACTGAGGTTCAGGCATGCTTTCTAACACACTGAGGACACCCATCTAGCAAGGACAATATCTGCATTTGAATCCAGGTTTGCCTTTTTAATCTGATGGATCTATCAAGAAAGAAGCACCATAATCAATGCTGGGCCTGCGGGGCAAGATGTTGCCACTGGTCTAATGGTAGAAGGAACATTTATTCCAGACTAACTTGTCTCTTATTCTTGTTATTTTGCTGTCTTGATGAGATTTGAGGTCTGCCTGACAGGAGGGAAGGCCCACCTGGTCCATGAAACACCATCAAAGCTAGGTTTGTCATAAGCCCAAGTGGAGAACTTACTGATGTTGTTTTGCTTAGTGGTCCTACTGTGAAACTATTTTCTAAATATTTTTGTTTGTATTCATAAATTTATACTGTTCTCAACCTTAGTCAGAGAGACTCCTTGTTGCAATTAGTAAAGTTCATAAAGACTGTAAATGTTAAATGTGCTGAGAAGAAACACAGTGTGTATTCTGCCATAGAAACAACAAGTACACACACACACACACACACACACACACACTTACTTCACCCACTAATACTCAGGGATCATTAAGAAAGAGGAGCAGAAAGAATCAGAGAGCCAAGGGATAAAAAGTTCCATGAAATGCTGTTCTCTAGAGAAGACATGTGGTTTGTCTACGTGAACTCAGAGCAGCCTTGGTTATTAGCACAAGATCTACCCAAGCCAGGAAAAAAAAATTAGCATAGAGGGGTTAGGCCTCTCAACCCCAACCTGAGGAACTACAGGCAATTGATGATTGTTGTGGGGAATAAGAGTCACTCTTCTTTGGGGAGTAGCCACTTGTAGGTTTCCTATACCCAAATGGGTGACTTCATACCCATGTGTACATGGGCAGCACTAATTTGTCTTGGTGTGTTACAACAAAAAGAACACAAAGTTAGAAGTGAGATGTATTGAAGATCAGAGGGGAGAAATCCCTGAGAGAGCTCTAGGGAGAGAATGAGGGGTGGATACAAATAAGATACATTATATACATGTATAAAATTTTCAAAAAAATAGTTCAAAAAGAAGAAAGCATCCACACTATATTCATCTCCCCAATGGGCACATTGCAGAGGGCCCTGTAATGTCCTTATCAGCTGTGGCATCAAACAAACTCACACTTAAGATCTGGAAAACTTATACCTTTATAATTTTCATCTGGACAAAGGTAGTGATGAAGAAACAATACCAGCCTCAAAAGGTTGCTGCAGCAACTGCAGGAACACTAACAGCACAATGCTTGCTCTAGGCATGCAGACACAAGGCATGCACTATTACTGTTCGCCCTTCCTTTCTCTGGGTAGAAGAGTAGTGAGTCGGGATTGGGTTTTCAACTAAACAGCTGAGAGGCCTTGGCAAACTGGCTCTCCCCATCTGGGGCTCCATTTCCTCAGGATCACAAGGGCAGGAGATCAGGTAACATTAGGAAGGGCAGAGCCACAAGACTCGAATGAGAGGTTGCAAACATCCTCTGTCATCCTAAGAAGCAGAGAATGAAGAAGGCCAATGTCATTCTGCTGTCCTCTGAAAAGACAGGAATGTGCACCCTCACCACCCACCTCGCTAGGATCTGGGAAGGATTAATAGATGTTATGCACCATGCTCTGCTGAGAGCTATTACTGCCTTACAGGGGAAGCTCCTACTGTTGCCAGCAAACAAGACTGATGATTTGATGAGGTGTGAATATTTTCCATGTAACAGTATGTAAACACTGCTCTTTTCATCCAAGTCCTCACTCGCTGCACACACTCTCATGCATTTATATGAGCCCATTTTCTTCATGGCTATGAATATTCTGTGCTTGCCCTTTCCAAGGGTTCGAAGAATGTGCTGACCAGGGCCCTTGCTGAACCTCTACGCTGATTTCTGAGGCGCACCACATTCTTTGTGAGAATGTTAATAGGCAAATTCACATTTTGTGCCAATGCATACGCCTTCCCTCTAGCCAATATGAATTGCATCGTTCAAGGCCAGGGGCTCAAGAGGCCACTGTGGGAGAAGATCTAGTGATCAAGAGGCATACTTACTAAGACATAAAAATAGAAAAAAAAATCCTGACTCAAATCATGTCTCCTCCACACTTGCTTAGTGAGTAAAAAAAAAAAAAAAAAAAATCCTAAGTATTCATGACAATGCTTTTCAATAAAAAGTTTCATCATCCACTTATTGGCTTAGTGAGGGTTTACCGGGCACTAGGTGCCAGATACCATGCCATATGAGGATGCAAGTCTTTAGTCTTTGCTGTCATCCTACATTCCTGAATGACTAGACAAATGAAATTATGGCAGTTAAGTGGTAAGTGTATGACATACAGCTCCTCTTTTCCTCTGTTCCTCTGACCATTGCTCTGCAGAGTTTGGTGATGATGTAGTTTGTCTCCACTCTTCCCTATAAGAATGCCACTTTGATTCTGTTCCCAAAGTCCCTCTTGCTGCTGGATACAACTCAAACCCTAGGGCTATAACTCTCAGGGGCCTGATTGCTGTCTTACTGGGCTTGGGTGGATAGGGGCTGGGGCTTGTTCTGATGCCTCCACCAGCACTACAGGGAACTTCAGCATGACCCCACAAAGCTGAACACAGGCTTGTGATGGGATGACCTTCTTGGGGTAAAAAATATAAATCTATTTATAAAACCTTCCCCCATCTACCCATTAAACAACCTCAATCCAACCAGTTCAAGACTAGTGAGATGACCCAAGCAGCAGTAATGCATCATGGTTTGTAATTTCACTAATACCAAAAGTGTATTCTTCCCCTTCCTCAAGGAAAAATTTATTCTCCCTGAAGAGACAGATATCTTTCTGAAAGGTAAGTCACATTCTGCATTGCATGAGCTTTCTAATACTTGTTAACATTTCAAACACAGACTCTTCATGGAAGTATTAAGATGTTGGCCTCTGTCAATATTTCTCCTACCCTTCCCCTCTTACTCTCCTAAAGGAGACTATGTGGTCTTCTTTCTATATGAACCTGCTGCCTTTAATGTGTGTAATCCATCACCTACATATCTTCACATGACTGGCACTGCATGTTATATTTCAGCTCAATACCCCCATTTCAGTAACTATACAAATTATCTCATGCAAAATACCCACCTTCACTTCTTGAGTGGTCATTATTGTGACCTGAAATAATTATGTATCTCTTTTCGCATTTGAATTTGTGCATCATATCCCATCAAGTTTCTGAGCCCCAGTAGGAAAAGCATCTTTCTCCCTTATTTACTCTATCCCAATACCTAGAACACTGCCTTCCAAAGGACAGAGATTCAATAAATAGATAAATGAATAACTTCCTGATAAAACAAAGGAAACATGTCCGAAATTTAACTGTTGGCATTTTGCTGACAAACCACCAATCCACAGCCTCCCATTCCACTAAGAATTCTATGTTCTTTAAACATCCAGTACTAACCTATAACCTTTACCCACAGGGAAGAGCTAAGCATAGAATCTATATCACTCACTCTTTCCCCAGACACCCAGCACACTTAGCAATGTACAGCTGTGTGCTTCTAAACCCTTTCAGTCTAACAGTTCAATAAAGTGCCCCAGGGTAGACTGTGGCTCCTAATACTTATCATAATAGCTTAATCCCTTAAAATTATTTTCAAATATTTCAAAATGCAGAAATATGCCCTACTGTGAGATGATGATTTGTGTCCTACTAATATCTATATGTTGAAAGCACAGTCCCAAGGTGAAGATCTAGAAAGAATAGCCTTTAGGATTATGAGATCAAGGGGTGGAGTCCCCATAAGCTGGATTAGTATTTTTATGAAATATGCCTGAGAGACATCTGTGCACCTATAAGGACTCACAAAAAGAGAGTGATTTTCCAGACAAAGTTAGAATGGACAAAAGTCTGAAGCAAAGCAAGAGTGTGCAATGGCCTGAGAATCCAGGAAACTTTACACAACTGCAGTGTAAAGAGACTTCATGGAGGGAAGTCAATATAGGATAAGAAAGCCCGGAAGAGCTACAGCCACTCATTCATGATCCTGGACTTCCCAATGTACACAAGTATGAGAAATGTCTGTTATTTTTAACCCATGTTGTGTATGGTTTTATGGTCATTTGGATGAGATGTTCCCCCATACTCTTGGCATTTGAACATTTGGTCCCCAGTTGGTAACTATTTATGGAGATTTTGGAAGTATGACCTTCCTAGAGGAAATATATCACTGGGATGGGCTTAGAGAGCTTAAGGCCTCACATTCCTTACAATTTGTTCTCTGTACTTT